AGAGGAATTTGTTGAGCGATTCAACTCATTCCCTGTGGGGAGCAAACTTGCAGATGAACTTGCAACTCCATTTGACAAGACAAAGAGCCATCCAGCTGCATTAACAACAAAAAAGTATGGTGTTAGGAAAACAGAACTATTGAAAGCTTGCTTTGCAAGGGAATTCTTGCTTATGAAGAGGAACTCATTTGTCTACCTTTTCAAGCTTACCCAAGTGAGTTTTAACTTCACTTAAGCTTCTACTATAACCATTCTTTCATCTTGTGCTCCTGGGTTTGATTTTTATTTTTTATTTTCCTTATTTTTAGCTCTCAATCTTGGCTCTAATTACAATGACACTGTTCCTACGGACTGAGATGCACCGTGATTCAGTAAGTGACGGAGGAATTTATGCTGGTGCTTTGTTCTTCTCCATGGTTTCTGTTATGTTCAATGGAATGGCAGAGCTTTCTATGACAATTGCCAAGCTTCCTGTTTTTTATAAGCAAAGAAAACTACTCTTCTTTCCACCATGGGCATATGCCCTTCCCGCATGGATCCTCAAGATCCCTATCACTTGTCTTGAAGTAGGTGTTTGGGTATTTATTACCTACTATGTCATTGGATATGATCCAAATGTTGAAAGGTAAAACAACTAGAAAAAGTTACCACTTTATGGCTAACATTTGTTTTCATGTTTTCTCCATAATAAAAAATAATGAATATTCATGCACATGATGCAGGTTGTTTAAGCAGTACCTTCTACTCTTACTCATTAATCAGATGGCTTCTGCGTTGTTCCGATTCATTGCTGGAGTTGGTAGAAGCTTGACTATTGCAAACACATTTGGATCATTTGCTCTGGTCATGCTTTTTGCTTTGGGTGGCTTTGTCTTGTCAAGAGGTATAAAACAAGTAAAGAAACTTCATGTTACATTGCTTAATTGCTATGCAATGGTGTTTATTTTCTTTTGATTGTTTCCACAGAGGATATAAAGAAATGGTGGATATGGGGCTATTGGATATCGCCTTTGATGTATGGGCAGAATGCAATAGTAGTCAATGAGTTCCTTGGAAAGAGCTGGAGTCATGTAAACCTTTGATTTTCCTTTTTCAAACATTTTGGCTTGTGTCTCTTATTCATAGTCTAATTACTTTTTTCTCTTAAAGGTTCTTCCAAACTCAACTGAGCCGTTAGGAGTTGCTGTTCTGAAGTCCCGCGGATTCTTCACTCATCCATCTTGGTATTGGATTGGCGTGGGAGCATTGGCTGGATACATGATTATATTCAATATTTTTTTCACTTTGGCTCTCACTTATCTAAAGCGTGGGTACCTTCACCTTATCTTATGTGCACTAAATCTTACAAGTGAGACTTTAACTCATAAGATATAAAACATTGTGCAGCATTTGACAAGCCACAGGCTGTTAGATTGGAAGACTCTAGCTCATCCCCTCAAATTAGCCAAGGTGATATATCTCATAAGTAATGTTTGTGTATGTCTGCTTTGAGTGAAATATGATTAATATTTTTCTCTTTTTGGTGAAAATCAAATTTTATGGACGTACAGAGAATGGAAATGGAAGTGTATCTTCCAGGTCCTCATCTGCAAGGACACAAGCTACTGCTGACACTAACCCCAACAAGAAAAGAGGAATGGTTCTTCCGTTTGAACCATATTCTATCACCTTTGATGAAATCACGTACTCTGTGGACATGCCACAGGTGATTTATTTATGCAACCAGAGTTTAAGTGTGTTTGACTTTTGGCAAATCCGGTGCAAGTCCAACATTGTAAGACTTTTTTTTTTATTTGGACTTGCAGGAAATGAAGAATCAAGGTGTTCCAGAGGATAAATTGGTGCTCCTCAGGCGTGTGAGTGGTGCTTTCAGGCCAGGTGTTCTGACAGCTCTAATGGGAGTGAGTGGTGCTGGTAAAACGACGCTAATGGATGTACTTGCTGGCAGAAAAACTGGTGGTTATATTGAGGGAAAAATCACAATCTCTGGGCACCCAAAGAAGCAAGAATCATTTGCCCGGATTTCTGGATATTGTGAGCAGAATGACATACATTCTCCTCATGTTACTGTCTACGAGTCTTTGATGTACTCAGCGTGGTTGCGTTTACCTGCAGAAATCAATTCAGAAACTAGGAAGGTTGGTATTTTAAGTTACAAACTATAGTTTCTAAGCTTAATTTTGATTCTTATGAAATTTTGCTGTTGTGAACTAGTTGAGTTGATTGAAAGTTTGTTCCAATTTCTAATCCAAGTTACCATTCTTGTACATATGCATGATTTTGTGTAGAAGTTCACTAAAGCTGGGTTGCTAGAAAAATAAGTTTGTAAGTCAACCACCTGCCTCATCAAGTTTCATAAAATGAACATGATTGCAGATGTTCGTTGAGGAAGTGATGGGACTTGTGGAGCTGAATCCGTTGAGACAAGCACTAGTGGGGTTGCCTGGTGCGAATGGTCTCTCAACAGAGCAGCGGAAGAGGCTGACCATTGCGGTTGAACTCGTGGCTAACCCCTCCATAATATTCATGGATGAACCAACTTCAGGCTTAGATGCAAGAGCTGCTGCTATTGTTATGAGAACAGTTAGAAACACTGTGGATACTGGAAGAACAGTTGTCTGCACCATCCATCAACCAAGCATTGACATATTTGACGCTTTTGATGAGGTGAAAAATTCTTCATAGATCGAAAGATTTCGGACTTGGAACTCTACTTCATTGATCTGTTCTACATGAGTATGATTGTTTAACATGTCATTGCAGCTATTCCTGCTGAAGAAAGGAGGACAAGAGCTTTATGTAGGGCCACTTGGCCGTCATTCTTGCCATCTAATCAAGTACTTTGAGGTATGATGAATCAAGAAATTTCGAGCATGGATATATCTGTATATTTTCTTTAAAGGTTTTGCTAATACGTGTATTTTTCTATGAAGGGAATTGAGAACGTGAGTAAAATCAAGGATGGTTATAATCCAGCAACCTGGATGTTGGAAGTCACCAGTTCAGCAAATGAAATAGCTTCGGGGATTGATTTTGCTGATGTGTATAAAAAATCAGAAATTTACAGGTTTGGTTTTATATTGGAAAGAACCTCTCTTTTCCTAATAAGACTTGTTGGTGAAAACATACTCATCTATGGCATATCTTTCAGGAGAAACAAAGCACTTATTGAAGAACTGAGCACCCCGGCTTCTGGTTCGGAGGACCTCTATTTCCCTACTAAATACTCTCAGCCATTTTTAACCCAATGCATAGCTTGCTTATGGAAACAACATTGGTCATATTGGCGCAATCCACCATACACTGCCATAAGGTTGATCTATACAGCCATCATAGCCTTGATGTTTGGGACAATGTTCTGGAACCTTGGCTCCAAAACGTAAGTTACAATGCAGAACCAAAAGACAGATATATTCTTACCAATATATTTTCTTCCAAATGTGATTTTGAAAATTTTGAATCCAGAACGAAACAACGGGATCTCTTCAATGCAATTGGTTCTATGTATGCTGCTGTTCTCTTTCTTGGTATTAAAAATTCTACAACAGTGCAGCCAGTCGTAGATGTGGAAAGAACAGTCTTCTATAGAGAACGAGCTGCCGGAATGTATTCTGCCTTGGCATATGCCTTTGCACAGGTGACTGATCATATATTCTACTAACATAATATTTTAGGTTTCACTGAGATTACTTGTATTATTTATCTTATGCCATTTCCGTATGTTGTTGCAGGTTACAATTGAGATCCCTTATGTTTTTGCACAAGCAGTTATCTATAGTGTCATAGTTTATGCCATGATTGGGTTTGAGTGGACTTTGGCTAAATTCTTGTGGTACCTATTCTTCATGTATTTCACATTTTTGTACTTCACCTACTATGGCATGATGGGTGTGGCCTTGACGCCGAACCAACACATTGCTGCTATAAGTGCCAGTGCATTTTATGCAGTATGGAATGTCTTCTCAGGGTTCGTCATTCCCCGAACCGTAAGTGTTTCTTACCCTCAACTTGTAATGCATGTTTTATGTCTGCATAGAATCTGTCTTCATGTCTTATTTTCTCATCCTGTAATTTTGATTCATGTTCATTTGGCCAACTACAGAGGATTCCTGTATGGTGGAGATGGTACTATTGGGCATGTCCAATGGCTTGGACCTTGTATGGACTGGCTACGTCACAGTTTGGAGATATACAGGACAAGCTTGAGACCGGTGAAACAGTGGAAGAATTTATGCGGAATTACTTTGGTTTCAAGCAAGAATTTATAGGAGTGGTGGCTGCCGTGGTGGTTGGATTCACTCTACTCTTTGCAGTTATCTTTGCCTTGTCCATCAAGAAGTTGAATTTCCAGAGGCGATGAAATTTTTGTTTCAAAAGGATTGTCTGGGGATGGCTAACATGTCAACAACTTGTTCATCATCTAGGAATTTCTTTGATCTTATGTGTTGCAGTTGTAAGCAGGCCAAAAAGTTGGCACCAACCATTATCGTTTTTGCCTCTATCATGTGAAGCCTAAGAACTGACAATTATATTCGTGAAGGCCATGCTAACTAAGTTGATTGTAGAAGATATTAAGCTCAAACTTACAAGTTATGTTTTGATAGTATGTTGATTGTAGATATAACAGTATATTCTTATTTGTTGCCTGCTAAATTTCATGTAGTATTAGCCTGAAAAATAAATGTTGGTTGGAAAGCAGAAGGAGAAATGCTTTAATCAGCAGAAAGCTGAAAGTTTATAGTTTAAAATGACGGTTTAACGGATTTCGCAACGATTTTGTAAATTTAGCGGCGAATATCTGACTTTTCGTGACGAAATTTGGGTACCTAATATGTTAAATACCCTTTAGCAACACTTTTAACCGCTGCTAAGCGTTGCAACAGCGATCTTTAGCAGCGTAAGCCTAAACCGCTGCTAAAAGTCAATTTTGGAGTTTCCGTCACCTCCCTTATCCAGAGACTATTACAAATGCATTCTTTCACACATCGTGCATTTAGAAATTTACTCACTACAGAAAAAGAGCAGACATTTTCTTACATTGTCCACGTTTACAATTATTACAAGAAAATATTACAAATTTCACTACAGCTATTTCACTACAAATATTACAAATTTGCTGTGCAGAACTCCCTTCCCGCTTGTCAGTACTTAGGTGATCACTCCCCCATAATTTAGATGTAACAAAAATGTCGCATCAAGAATTGCCTCTGTCAAAGCATTTCTTAGAGCTGTCGGCTCAGAACGATAAATCTTCGCAGTGTCAAAATGCTGGTAACCCATCTGCATTACAAAATCATGCACTTTTAGAACACATTCATTCAGTGCTTGATAAAATAAATAAATACTAAAGAGTTGGAAACTAGAATATCTGAGTGATTGACAGAGTTGCAAAACAAAAGGCAGTACACAGCAAGCATGGAGTTTCTGTTTTGGCCTTCAATGGCAAAGGTTGATTAATTAATATGGGTGGGCCTGGCTTGCCTAAAAATGGCAATACGCAAACCAAAGCTTAAGTATTAGACTTTAACAAACTCATAATTAGGCTGTGTGTGTTGAGAAAATAAGCAAGGTGGATGGATCCACATGCTTGATTTTTGTTAATTTATGGATCTTGGCTAGCACCACCAGTGTGGCTTGTGATGAGTCACTCATAGGTGTCATTCATATTTCATTCTACGACTGCTACGAACACCAAACTTTATTCACCAAATGACATAACAGTGTTTAATTGATATTTTATTCACCTAATGACATAACCTAATTGATGTTTTATAATGACAAACTTATTTGCACTCTCTCTAAAAAAAAGTGTAAGAGATGTTTGGGTTGTCCCAATATCATGAAGCCATTTCCACAGCTAAGCCATTATTCGAGTCTACTACAATGTGAAAATACCATAGGGTAAGGAAAACTGCAAAGTAATTTCATGCTAATCCAAAAGAAAAATAATAGAGATGTCAATCTTCAAACTAATCGACCCCAGAGAGGTAGTCTAAAAACTCTTCTAAGGAATTGGTTTCATCAATTCAAACATTTTGAATTTAATCTTATTCCTCTAAGTGTCAAATATAGTGTAATTGAGAGAGTAAAGAGTGAGGAATAATAGATGTTTTGCAGAGAATTCTCCCTTATATCTTTGTATTGCTATCATGGAGATATTTATACACAATGTAGAAAGGGTAACTATTAGTTACAAACAAGTATACAAAACCATGGAGCAAGTTCATGGTTCTAATAAATTACTGAAATTATATCACTAATAGCATAACCAAAGTAACAACAACAAGAAGGAAACCAAATCAAGACGAACTTGTATATCAGGTAACGAAAAAAGGATGCAAATTTTAGTTTTCTACTGGTCAGATATGTGGAAAATGAAAATAAAAAGATATGATCTTTTGAACCACTTAGATATAAAAGGCGCAAATTTTCTAGTGCAGAAGCTAAGCATTTACCTGTTTCGTTCAAATTGGGAGCATGGTAGTCCATTTCCCCTCTTGTTACTCATCTTTCATGGCAGCTATGGCACCGTAGGAGTGCTGGCGACGACGGTTTGAAGAATTAGGTTTAGGGATTTTGTTTTCGGTCGAATAGATTTGGGGATTTTGTCAAAACGGGTTGGTCAACGTCGCAACGATAAACAATTGGTCCCAATCGCAGGCCTGAAATCGTCATTTCATATTCTTCCAGTTCGGGTGAGGAGAGAAAGAGAAAATGGGCTTTTTTTGAGGCCCAAAGATATACTTTTGTATTCAGTAATGCGCCCAATCTAGAAAAAGCATGTTTTAAATAAGAGTGCTGCTAAACGAACCCTAAAATTAACTGAGTACACCTTGCTACTAAACTATTTATTGAATTACTAATTTACCCTAATATAAAATTACCAAAAAGATAAAATAATATTGGTATTTATTATTTTGAATCCATGCCTTCAAACAAATTGACTTAATTTTTAACAAACAACGCGGAATCCATGAGAACTGTATTGATCCAATTTGATATTTTTATGCATAAAACTTAAACAATCAATAACACAAACCAATTCATGCTGAAATATTGGAAACCCACACCCAAAGAGTTCTCCGCTGCAAGGTTGGAGGCTAGGAGAGTCTGAGAATGCCATGGTTGAGGGAGAAGAAGCATTCAAAATGCCTATTGATATTTTACATTATTTTCCATACGAGTTAACAATGTTTGTGTATTGTTAAAGGTTGAGAGACGTGTCAAAATTTTAGATAAAGGACATGAGGAGACAGGGAATTTGGGGACAGCAGATCTCAACTCCCCTGAGATCCTATTCTCTACGCCACCCCCCTTAACAACCCTAGTCACCATTTCTACTTCAACTCCGATGGCAACTCATTAAAACCCAATTCTCAAATGCAACAATCTAATCCCAATCCCAATTCAGATGTTTTCAAAAAACACATGGTGGTCGTGGTGGAGAACTGCAATTCCAGGTGGTGGTGGTTGCACATGAGAGAGAGAAAAGAAGAAGAAGAAGCAGGAGAGAGAGAGAGAGAGAGAGAGAGAGAGTTTTTTGTCAAAATATTATTTTATTATTATTTTACTGTAATTTTTTATTTTAAATACTTTAAAAGATTAAAAATTAAAGAGGGTGTACCATGGATATTTTTGGTAGTTAAATAGGGTGTACTTAGTTAATTTTACATTATAATTTAAACATTAGGGTGTACTTAACTCATAGGGTGTACTCAGTTAATTTTAGGGTTCGTTTAGCAGCACTCTTTAAATAAATATGATTGGAATAATTGCGGTTGTTGCAGTGGGAGTGTGGGATGCGGAGAGTATGAGATATGTCTTTTCATTTTCAAATTTTCTTGAAGTACTTTCCATTTTACTATTTTACCCTTATATAAAAAATAGTGTTCCATTTTACATGTTATTTAACTTAGGGCATTTTAAGGAATTTATTAAAATATAACAATAAAAGTATTTTCTTTTAGGCTAAAATGTCAAAATAGTCCCTGTGTTTTAGCATAATGGCCAATTTAATTCATGTGCTTTTAATTTGGCCAATTCGATCCTTATGTTTAGGATCATTAGCCAATTTAGTCCATTCAGTTAAAATTGTCCTTAAATATGAACATGAGAATCTTTTTCTTTTTCTTTTTTGTGCTTTTGAAAACCTATAAAGCTTTTTTAAATTAAAAAAAGTTGAATTGATTTAAAAATATATTAAAACTTCAATTAAACTAACATAACATTAGAAGAAAAAAAAACTTGTAAAAATGAAGGAGGCGTAGTCCGGGGAGGAGAAGTGCTGCTTAACGAGTGGAGTAGTGGGAAAAAGGGTTGACCATTGTAGGGTGGGGGAGGGTGATGAACGGAGGCATATAATAGAAGAGGGAGAGATGGGAGTTGGAGATGGTGTGGACGATCTGGGAGCCATGACTGAGGATGGGGCAAATGGCTAGGCAATGGTTGGGTCTGGGAAGATCTTGCTGGGAGTTGGTCAAGTAAGGGTAAATGGCTAGCCAATGATTGAACTCAAATAATTATGTTTTTTAATTAATGTTTAAATAGTTTTAAACTTTTTTAACTTAGATTTAAAAGAATGGATTACATTGACTAACAGTTGTAAACACGAGGACTCAATTAGCTAAATTAGAAATACATGAATTAAATTGACCAACATAATAAAACAGAGGGATCATTTTAGTATTTAAGTCTTTCTTTTATATATAGATAGATATAGATTTTTTTTTTAAATTATTCAATCGTTGGGAAGGGGGGATAGGGTAATATACATGGGGTGGGGTTTTTGAAAGATACCATCTCATGTGGCTCAAACCAGGATGACAATTAGGTGGAAGGGGGGAAAGTTGCTGCTCAACCACTGCGGCTAAACCCCATTAGATACTAATAATCCGATTTGGGGCTTCCCCATTTTTTAATTTTTAATTTTAAAAAAAACAACTGATTTGAGCCTTAACGGCTAGCGCAATTCCTGTCCTTCTGGACTTTCCAATTCATCTAAAGAGTCAAACCCAATTATTTCTAAGTGCGCCGCCGGGCCCACATATCCAAACTGTATCATACGTGTCTATTATCTACATGTCATTGTTAGGAATAGATGTGACCTCCTAAATCTGAATCTTCGCATATCTTGGACTGTTACATGTAAATCCTTTTTTTATTGTCGGCAGAAAATCTAATTAGTTTTATAGTAATTATGTTGTCAATGTCACAGTCAAACCCCCACAATGTCAATTCATCCACAATGCATAAAATATTAAAAATTAAATGAACGGTGATGATAGACATTGGCATGTATTAAGCAGCCTCAATGTAAGCTAAGCCTATAAACATATTAATTTATAAATTAATTCAATCATTACATGAAATCAAAGTGGCCAACAGACCTTAGTTGCTTGGGTTTGAGCGCATCACCTCGTCTTTAATTGCTTGGTTATGCGCACTTGTCATGGCTTCGATTCGATTTCTCATTTCTAAATGGGAGCTGTGGCAACAGTGGGTTATAGCACTAGTCTTCTTGGGATTTAGACTACATGGGTGGGTTCAATGAGCCCTATTGTTCCTCGTGTTAAATTTCATAGAGACGGGCCAGTAGTCCACTACTAGCAGCATTGATTTTGTCCACAATTTAGTCATCTACAAAGCCCAATAAATATGGGATTTTATCATAAAAGGTCTCGGTTATATTAGTAGTTGAACCATTTGTTATATATTGTATTTTATTTAGTCAAGTTTCCGATGTGGAATTTATATTCCTCAACACCTCGTTTAAAACAAAATATGTGAGCGATCCCAAGACCATATACATCTATGAATTGTTATCTGTAACACGTGTTTGTTTGTATATCAAGTTGACTTGACGCGAAATAGAAAATGAAATAAATTACAATCAATACGCAAAATCTGGTGAACTGATACCAACACATTTTCCTTTTGGGCAAAAATTGATGGCACTTATGTTTTGAATAGGTGGCCGCCGATTTGGCGCATTAGCAAATGATGTAAACTCCCTCTTATGATAAATGCAATACACCGATCGTTTTGAACAAAAAAAGAAAATTTTCATTCTTTTCAGTCTCTATGCATATAATAGCAATTAGCTAGTCAATGTAAAACCAGGGCCGGCCCTCCAGGGCAAAAATCTAAAGTGTGCCCTATAAATAAAGTAATCACTAAAATTATAATTTTTTATCTACTAATTAATTTTATTAAAATTATAGCATTCATTGCTTTACAACATGAGCCTTCCCATTTGTTATTGTTTGATGATAATAATTTGAGGAAAAATGTCATCGTGTTCATCCATAGGGAATTTGCAGTTAATTTCTCTTACATGAAACTTTTCTAAAAGTAAATCTACCATTTTTGCATCATAAATTTTCATTTCATTTTCATTTTCTGCCTATTCTTCCAAATGAATATGAACAATTCATTTGGTAAATCTTCAGATAAATTTTCATGTTTAAAGGAGGTAATCCATTACAGAACTCACGTTCTCCCTGCAAAACAGATTAAGACCCAAGAAAAATCATCTTTGTTTCTTATCTGGGTTGCACCTAAAACCCATCTCAATTCTCAATGAATAAGTTCTCAATTGACGACCTTGAATCTGCAAGAATGCCTATACAAAGTGATTATTTGAAAAATAGCAGCAACATAGAGAATAAATAGACAAAGAGAAAGGACTTACAGCTCTATTGGCTTCGTCTTGTCAGCCATGGAGAGGAAATGATAGGGAAAGAGAGAGGCGATGGAGAGGAGAGAGGCTGCGATGTGACTCTGTGAGTGAGGGATGATTGGTAGGTATGATAGGGAGGATTAAACAAATATGTACGCCTGGTTATTTTTTATTTTTTTTTTCTAAGGACGTTTAGTTTTTTAAAGAATGGTGATGATATCATCCATTGTTGAAACCAATTGTGTCCGGAGAGAGAGGGAAGGAGAAAGAGTACTTTAAATAGAATTACCCCACTCCAACTAATACCGAGGCCTTTTGTGATAAAACCCCACACCTGAGGATTGTGCAGGTGGTAAAGTGGGGACAGTATCGGTGTTGTTGGAGTGGGCCCTCGGCCCGTTAACCTGGAAAATTTGACATGGTATCAGAGCCAGGTTGCGGGCCCGTACTTGCCACGTGATGGGTGGGTCCCCGTTTGGCCCCGCGCGATGGGTGAGTCCCTACATGGCTCCACGTGGTTGCCGATGTGTGGATCTACACGTGTGACCCACAAAATGGGGTCTCACGTGCAGGGGAGTGTTGAAACCAATTGTGTCCCACATCGGAGAGAGGGAAGGAGAAAGAGTACTTTAAATAGAATTACCCCACTCCAACTAATACCGAGGCCTTTTGTGATAAAACCCCACACCTGAGGATTGTGCAGGTGGTAAAGTGGGGACAGTATCGGTGTTGTTGGAGTGGGCCCTCGGCCCGTTAACCTGGAAAATTTGACATGGTATAAGAGCCTAGGTTTTCTTGTGACCTGTGTTTGCGTTCTCCTTGCAATTTAAGTGCTCTCCTCCCCTCCTCATCAAAGGGGGGAGGGGGAGTGAAAAGGATATATTTATTGACGTATCCCCATTAGCTTGACATATTCCCATGAAGATGTTGCTTATTTCTTGACTCCGACGACCTCTTCTCTTCAGGGGGAGAGGAGGAGTGAAGAGAAGTTGTCTACGTGAATTAGCTAAAGTTGATATGGAAGACCTGTTGCTGTTGTCGTTGCCTCTACTACCGCAATTGATGTTACCGTTGCCGCTATTGTTGCCGTTGATGTTGCCTTTGTTTGCTTCGCTTTCTGTTGCTATGGTCATTGTCGATGATGTTGCTGTGTTTTGATATGTCTCTACCCTAACCCTAGACACTACCTATTTCTACTGCACTATACATCTAGCCTATAATCCTAGCCTGCCGCCTCCGTCGTCTACCTTGCTACTATCGCCGGCGCCTACTTTGCTACTGTCGCTGGCTCCTACCTTGCTATTATCACCGTTGCTCATCTATTCCGCTACAATTTAACCACCTATCTTCCATGGCTGATTCTGCTACATCTCAGTGTTAGTCAACGCATGTTTCTCAAGTACCATTGATCATATGGCTCCATCGACCCCTTCTCTTCAAGGGGAGAGGGGGAGTGAAGAGAAGTTGTCTCTGCTGTTGCTGGTGCCAATGCCTTGTATCGCTGTTGATGATGCCTGTTATGTCTCTGCCTTGTTACTCTTGTTGGTGCCAGTATTGTTGCTCATGCCTTTGCTGGTGTGTTTCCGCTGTGGTCATGCCCGTTGACCTTGCCTTTACTCTTGACTTTCTTTGCCTTGCCTTACCCTATTTGTTAGGGTTAGGGTTTGCCTTGCCATGCCTTGCCTTACCCTATTTGTTAGGGTTAGGGTTTGCCTTGCCATGCCTTGCCTTACCCTATTTTTAGGGTAAGGCTTTACCTTTGTCGTGTCTTACCCTATTTTTAGGGTTTTGTTGCCCTATCTGGGCTTTCTTTGCCATGCCTTGACACCTTGCCTTTTCTTGGCCTTTATTTGCCTTACCTTGCCTTACCCTATTTTTAGGGTTTGGTTTCTGCCTTATCTATTGCCGTGCTCACAGGGCTTCTGTGTTCTGCCATATCTATTGCTGTGCTCACAAAGCTTCTATGTTCTGCCTTATCTGCTGCCATGCTCACAGGGTTTCTGTGTTCTGCCTTATTTGCTGCCGTGCTCACAGGGTTTCTGTGTTCTGCTATGTGCCCTATTTCTTAGGGTTTGCTCTTGTGTTTCCGCTGCGAACTTTGCTTTAGTTTGTCACTTGTTTCACTCGTGGTTGACGAAAAGACCTTCTCTACAATTGGTGCTTCTCAAGTATGGTGTTCTGTGACTCGCTCGTCAAGTTGGGCATGCGAAATATCTTTGCCCAACTTGAGGGGGAGTGTCGGCGAGTCCTTACTTAGTTAGGATTTTGGTTCCTTACTATGTTAGGATTTTAGTTACTTACCTATTTGTCTAGTCCAATTATAATTAAGATTTATTTCATATTGTAATTTAGATTTATTTCCTATTTTATTTAGGGTTGTACTTATATAAATACCTCCATATTGGAGAAGAATAAAAATATGAGAAAATATGAGCATATACGAGCATATCTGAATATTTGCCCTACTTTGTTTGACATGGTATCAGAGCCAGGTTGCGGGCCCGTACTTGCCACGTGATGGGTGGGTCCCCGTTTGGCCCCGCGCGATGGGTGAGTCTCCATTTGGCTCCATGTAGGCCAAAGGTGCCACGTGATGGGTGGGTCCCCGTTTGGCCCCGCGCGATAGGTGGGTCCCTACATGGCTCCACGTGGTTGCCGATGTGTGGATCTCCACGTGTGACCCACAAAATGGGGTCTCACGTGCGGAGGAGTGTTGAAACCAGTTGTGTCCCACATCGGAGAGAGAGGGAAGGAGAAAGAGTACTTTAAATAGAATTACCCCACTCCAACTAATACCGAGGCCTTTTGTGATAAAACCCCACACCTGAGGATTGTGCAGGTGGTAAAGTGGGGACAGTATCGGTGTTGTTGGAGTGGGCCTTCGGCCCGTTAACCTGGAAAATTTGACATCCATGATGTCTGAAACTTTTGATATCATGCATGACTTCTTTCTATAAATTATTCCATGAAAGTGGCCAACAAAAGCCAAACCATTTTTCTCTTGCTTTCTGTTTTCCCATGATTTGCTATCTTCTTTATTAAGTTTGGAACTTTGGATAAAAAAGACTTGGGTTTTTAATTTGTAGCTCTAGCTAGCTCTTGCTGGTTCTTCTACAATGGAGATAAGTTGTGATCTTGAGAAAGCTGGTCACAGTTTCAAAAGCTCTTCCTTTTGGACTGACAATGGCGTAGGAGTTTTCTCGTCATCTTCACGTGGAGAGGATGACGAGGAAGCTCTCAAGTGGGCTGCTCTTCAGAGACTTCCAACTTTCCAGCGCTTGAAGAAAGGTTTGATCTCAACTCTACATATTGCTCTCTTCTTGAATTTCCCCTACTAAATACTCTCAACCATTTTTAACCCAATGCATAGCTTGCTTATGGAAACAACATTGGTCATATTGGCGCAATCCACCATACACTGCCATAAGGTTGATCTATACAGCCATCATAGCCTTGATGTTTGGGACAATGTTCTGGAACCTTGGCTCCAAAACGTAAGTTACAATGCAGAACCAAAAGACAGATATATTCTTACCAATATATTTTCTTCCAAATGTGATTTTGAAAATTTTGAATCCAGAACGAAACAACGGGATCTCTTCAATGCAATTGGTTCTATGTATGCTGCTGTTCTCTTTCTTGGTATTAAAAATTCTACAACAGTGCAGCCAGTCGTAGATGTGGAAAGAACAGTCTTCTATAGAGAACGAGCTGCCGGAATGTATTCTGCCTTGGCATATGCCTTTGCACAGGTGACTGATCATATATTCTACTAACATAATATTTTAGGTTTCACTGAGATTACTTGTATTATTTATCTTATGCCATTTCCGTATGTTGTTGCAAGTTACAATTGAGATCCCTTATGTTTTTGCACAAGCAGTTATCTATAGTGTCATAGTTTATGCAATGATTGGGTTTGAGTGGACTTTGGCTAAATTCTTGTGGTACCTGTTCTTCATGTATTTCACATTTTTGTACTTCACCTACTATGGCATGATGGGTGTGTTGGAAAAATGGCTCACATTTAGTATGCAAGTGAAGGAGGAGGCGACCGGTCGCTGGGTATTTGCGACCGGTCGTTTTGAAGCAGATTATTTATCTTATGCCATTTCCGTATGTTGTTGCAAGTTACAATTGAGATCCCTTATGTTTTTGCACAAGCAGTTATCTATAGTGTCATAGTTTATGCAATGATTGGGTTTGAGTGGACTTTGGCTAAATTCTTGTGGTACCTATTCTTCATGTATTTCACATTTTTGTACTTCACCTACTATGGCATGATGGGTGTGTTGGAAAAATGGCTCACATTTAGTATGCAAGTGAAGGAGGAGGCGACCGGTCGCTGGGTATTTGCGACCGGTCGTTTTGAAGCAGATTCGAAGTCTGGAGGAGAAGCTGGAAATCGTGACCAGCGACCGGTCGCAAGGTGCAAGCGACCGGTCGCTTTCAGACAGATTGCAATGCGACCGGTCTCCAGGAACGTGCGACCGGTCGCCAGACGTGCTGTGTAGTTTTTCCATGCGTTTTTCAAGGTGCATTGCACATGTGTTGGTTCCCTACCTAATCCCTCGAGCTTCCAAGAGTTTTATGGGTTCTAGGAAGTTTGGAAAAGTGCCTTAGAACCTGGAACACCATTTAAATGATGTTTGTTGTCTTGTACCAAAGGGTTTTCTAGGTGGGAGACAAGGGGACAAAGGGTGCATGCTTTATGGCTTGTTTTCTGGTTTGCCTAGCCTTGTGTTTAGTTTGGTAGCTGAAAGCAAGAACGTGAAGGAGTAATTGCAGCCCTCTACTAAGTCCAAAGGTCTGC